TCCATGTATATTTAAAATTATTTCTGTTGCTATGAGCTTTCTTGTTGGATTTTACTTTCTATTAATTTTAACTTCCCCCTGAAACAGTATATTTTTACCAGTTAATTATACTCAGTCAGATTTATTGTCAGAATTTGTAAGACTGATCATATTTTGACAATTGTATTTTATGGTTGGTTTGTTTTCCATGCTTCTTTTTTTTTCATTTCTTTCCTGATATATTGATTGAATCAAACTTTCTTTATCTATTTATTTCTTGTGATATGAAATTTTCACCTTTATTTCTAGAAGTGGTTTTCTTTTTTATGACAAATAAAACTGGTTTATTGATGAGTTGGAATCAGTAGGGTAAAAGCAAAAAGTAACTTTATTTTTCTCATGACTGCCTCCTTCAGTCTGTTCTATTAACTCAGTTCTTACCAACCCTGGATGAAATATCATGTGAATCTCCTAGTTTTCTCAGTAAAGCTTCGTCTTTAAAAATTTTAATACAGTCTAATACAATCCCTTATCCAACTGAAAGCTTCTCTCTTCCTCCAACCCAGATCTACCTCAGAGAAAGAAATTGAGGATAGCTTCTTCACTATTTTTCTGCCTTGTTTTCACTCTTCCTTTATTACTGTGCTGTCTCTTGATCTTCCAAGATTGAAAGTGAGAAGATATACAAATAGCTTATAAACATATGAAAAGATTATTAACAGTATTAGTCATTTGAAAAATGCACTTGACTGCCACATTGAAATGGCTATAATCAAAAGGACAGACAATAATGAGTATTTATGAGGTTGTGGAGAAATTAGAAACCCCATGCATTGTTGGTAGGAATGTGAAATGGTACACATTTCTGTTTTGGAAAACTGTCAACTTCCCAAAATGTTAAACAAAAAGTTAATATATGACCCAGTATTTTCACTCTTACATATGTACCCAAGAGCAATGATACCTATGCCTACATAAAACCCTATATACAACTGTTTATACCAGCATTAGTCACAACTCTTACGAAGTGAAAAATAACACAAATGTTCACCAACTGATGAGTGGATGAACAAAATAAGGTAGACTGATACAATGGAATATTATTCAGCAATGAAGAGGAAGGCAGTACTGATACATACAAAAACAGTGTACTAAGTGAAAGAAGCCTTACACAGAGACCACATATCGTATGATATTCGTTTAAAATGTCAAATAAATAATGTCCAGCAGAAAGTAGAAGAGTGGTTGCCTAGAGCTAGGAGGTGGAGGTGAGGGGAAGGCAGGAGTGAATGAGTACAAGGTTTGTTTTGAAGGTGACAAAATGATCAAACAATGAAGTGTGGTGATGATTATGTAAGTGCGTGCATGCTGTCTCTTTAGTCATGTCTGACTCTGTGCGACCCTATAGATTGTAGCCCACCAGGCTCCTCTGTCCATGGGAATCTCCATGCATGAATACTGGAGTGGATTGCCATGCCCTTCTCCAGGGGATCTTCCTGACCCAGGGATTGGATCCATGGCTCTTACATCTCCTGCTTTGGCAGGTAAGTTCCTTACCACTAGTGCCACCTGGAAAACTGGTGATGATTACATATCTCTATAAATATACTAAATTATGTGCTCTAAATAGGTAAATTTTACAGTATTGTGAAGGAGAATGATTGCCTACCACATCAGTGAACAAAGGACGTTGTAGCTATCAAGCCACCACATTACATCTGTCCCTATGACAAGCCCTGAGGGAACTCAGGATGGAAACAAAATGCTGGTCATTGAGCAGTCACTGCTGCCAAAATTACTCCCAATCATGAACCTAGAGAAGACTAAGGATAAGAAAGCACAGGATGCTGGCCCAGAGGAAATAAATTATTCCAATGAGCTCAAACTTTGCATCTTCCCATACATTGAAAAGCACTAATTTTGTTGATTTGAGATGTCTTGTTTTCTCTAAATAACAGTAATCTTTTGGTATTCTGACTACCTGCTCTTTATCACAAAAACTGCTATATATATTGGCTCCCTGCCCCTACCTCAGCCTCTTCAGAACGTCACTTTATATAAAGTAGAAATCAAAACTAAAACACAGACTATATATGATTGACATGTAGAAGATTTGAGGCATGGGAGCGATTTATAGTAACTGTGAAAGCCTCATTACTCCGTCATGTCCTGTCTGCTCTCATTAACTCTATATTCCTTCTTGTGCTTGTCTTTACACCAAAGGCCCCCTCGCCACATTTCCACTGATCAAATTGTGTCTGTGGTCCATATTCCAACATGAATAATATTTTATGTCTGTATAATTATCACACAAAGCAGTGCTTGAATTGCTTTTATACAGATAACTTTTTATCCTAACTTGATATCCTGACAGGATATCAACAACAGAATTATTGTTACCCACTTTTACGAGTAACTAAACTGAGGGATACAGGCAGTTTTCTAAAACCAAATATCTTAAAAATGGTAGAAACTTGATGAGGAACCAGATCTTTTGACTGCAGAGCCAAAATCATTTCCCTTCATACTACAGCTAAACTGTCTTTCTGCCATGAGTCTGGAATGAGACCATCTTAATGAAACCCTTTCCAGGCTCCTAAATAGAAAGTTTCTCTCAATGGAGTTTCTAGAGCATTTGGTATCTCTCATAGCTCATATCATGTTCTACCCTCACTGTAGTTTGTAATTCTCACTTTACTTACAACACTATAGGTTCCCAGAAGGTAGAGACCATGACTTACAAATTTTTATTTCAAAGAATGTATGCAGAAAACATTGTATCTAAAGAATAATGAAATGAATATCTTCATTATTTTATTAACCCACTTAGATTTATTATCCTGATCTTAGAGTATTTCATATTGCTTCAGGAGTAAAAGGAATCAACTATATTATACAGACAGATACAGACAGACGTGGTCCAGTTAAAAGAATAACGGTAAATGGATGGAGATACATCATCCCTGTCCAGGTCTCCTGGATATAGTTTGGCAGTGTAGACATTGTTTCCCTAGAGCCAGGACAGATAGAGTACAAGCGAGCCTCCCGGGAGGAAGGCGTGGGTAAAAGGTAGGTAAGTGTTAAATATATTCTACCTTGGCTCCAGTCTTCCAGTCTTAGTGCTGCAACACCTACCATGCAGTCTAAGCAGAGACCAGACATGGATCTTCAGGAAGCATACAAATATGCAGACCAGTCTGCTTTATCATGATCAGTGCAAAGGTCTGAAGGATTTTCCTTTATCAGAAGAGACCAAATGGATCATGGTGAGCATTTGGAACTACCAAGAGAGATTGGTTGATCCCTGAAGGAAGCTTCAAGGAAAATGAGGAGGGACTTGGGGGAAATGGCAGCAGGCTCTGTTCTTGAACAGAAGAAAGGATGTTGGGGAAAATGACAAGAAATAAAGATTCAGGGTATTTACCCCAGGGGAAATTTGGGCCAGTGGAAGGTCTTTTAGGTGTTAGAATAGGATGTGTGTTTTGTTTTAGAAGACTCTTAGTGGCTGTATTGTTTTTGAGAACAAGAACAAGGACTAAAAAATGTTCTAAAGCGCAATGAAAGTATTTCTTTCCTTGGATACTACAGAGATCTCAAAGCTCAGTGCTCTTAGTTTTGAATGCCAGGAAAATAGAGTTTCTCTGCAATTCTTCATGCTTCAAAACAGAGCCTACTGGGAGGTACATTTGTGTACCTCCAAAGAAAGTGGAGGAGAATATGAAGTAGGAGCAGGAGAGTTGGATATATGATCATAATACACTAAAGAGAAAATAAGGAAGCTCCAGGTGATCTCAAACTCATATCTTTTCAAAGATGCTATAGCCCTATACTCAAGGAAATTAGAGTTATTTTATTCCATAGAATATAATGGGAAAGGTGAGTAAAAGACAGAGAATGCATGACTGTGTTTATGAGGATGCATGAGTTTTCACTCAATGTGAGCACGTGTAATTGAGTAAATATGGATAAATGTTGTGTGACAAAATTTAATAACAGATAATGCATGTAGCAAATAACCAGGGACCAAGGCTTACATTAAGTTCCTTACTAGCAATATCACATTTAATCCTCACAACTCAATCCAGTAAACTGACATTATTATAATGTTCTTAATTTAGAGGAGATGGTATGAAAGTACATACTTGATAAGTGATCTGTGCAGAATGACACAGCTACTAGGTACTGAAACTAGTACTAAAATCTTGCTCTGACCCGAAAATCAATGTTCTTAACTGGTATGTAAAGATGAGTGTATGAGAAATTGTATGGCTGATGATGAAAATATGAAATGTTACACACATCCCAAAGAGTAGGTGCCACTACATTGACACAACTTCCTATGGGGATCTCAAAATTCATCCTTTTCCTCAGGAATAGCATTTGGTCAAAGGCACTGAGGAACTAGGCAAAGAGCTCCTTACTAGTAAACTACATTAGGAGTGAATGATGGGATATCAGGATGATGGTAAGAGGCAGTCTCTTCCCATTCAATAAGCACTGAGTTCTGCTGATGTATGCCACTATGGAAAGGAGGTGCCAATAAAATGTATTTCTGCATCTCAGTATTCAGCCCCTTGCCACAAGCCATGGCCAGAAGATAGGTAGTCCTATGAAACTTCGGGGCAAATCCTGATTGATCTCCAATCCTTCACATGCCAAGTGAACAGTATGGTGGACAAAAAATTTGGCAGAAAGAATGAGTAACCGTTTGAAGATAGGACTAACTTCAGTTTTATGGAAGAGGGAGGCACTTAATGGATATACATAGTATTTATGTGTTTTCAAGCGGTGAATCTGTGGTGACCTCACTCCTTGCTTTCTGGCTTGCTTGCTAAGTTGCTCAGTCATGTCTGACTCTTTGTGACCCCATGGACTGTAGCCCACCAGGCTCCTCTGTCCATGGGATTCTCCAGGCAAGAATACTGGAGTGGGTTGCCATTTCCTTCTCCAGGGGATCTTCCTGACCCAGGGATTGAACCTGTGTCACTTATGTCTACTGCCTTAGTAGGTGGGTTCTTTACCACTAACACCACCTGGGAAGCCCTCATTCCTTAATACAGATTAAAACAGTTATACTAGCTCATGAATAGTTCTGCCTTCTCATGGTATAAGACCCATCTCTCTATGTACTGCATTCATGTTCCTTCCTGTCTTTCCTCCCATTCAGGGCCAAAACCTGAGATAATGGCAGATATTTAGAGAGTCTGACCTACCAAGTATCTTATCCAGTGTTCTCATATCTGGTGGATATGTTTGCTATAAAAGTACCCTGTTTGTGCAAGTCCAGGGTGTATCCAAAGATCTACAGCCTGATAGACCAGAGTCTCCTGCCGGTAAAGATCCTGAGATCACAGTCCTCTGCACCTTACCTATTTTTTTTTGCATCTCAAAGCTCCAAAGGATTGATTCATTAGTTTACTTTTTAGTTCACATTTGTTTAATATTAATGTGTTTGCAAATCATTATCATAGGCACTTGTCATCATCATAAAGGACAGAGCCACAAGTTTTGGAAAATTGCAGTGTGGTAGAGAAAAATCTCAGGTGTAAGGGATTTGTGCACTGGAAACAAATGTCATTGACTAGACATTTGACCTAGACACTTGACCTCGATTTGGTGAGATGACCCTTAGATGAAACCCTGAACTTTGAAATCAGCAAATAAAGATTGGGGAATGGGCATAGTCACAAGAGAGAAAAGTCATGCAAAGTGTGAGAGCAATTACAGTGAGCTTGGGGAGAAAGTAGCTGAGTATGTCTCAAACGTGGTACACCAGTTATGAGGGTCAAAAGAGATGAGGCTAGGGCAATAGGTAGGGGTCAAATTAGAGAAAGCCTATGTGTAGTAACAAAAACTTTTTCCTATTTTATCTAAAAGCAATTAGAAAGTCATTAAGGAATTATCCAAGAATTATTATTGATTTTTAATTTCCACAGACTCTACTCTGAAGAAACTGTGGTGAATCAAGGACTATGAGCAATAAATCACTTCAATATTGATTCCTTGAACTTTCTCTGACATGTTGCCCTACACATTTCCTTTCAGGCAGAAAAAATGTCTTTGTGCTGTGAGTTTCTAAGTAAACAGAGACTTGAAACCAGCAAAGGAGAGACTATCAGTCCATGTTCATGGACAAAGGACTTAGGCATGACATGGAGAGTGACGTTCAAATACTTCATCAGGTGAGGAAAGTTAAAGACAGGAGTGCACTTTGATTCTGGGATATTTTCAAAACAAATATAAAAAAAATTTTGATGGAAATGTATGCTTCCCATTGGAAAATGACTTCATACTAACAGAGATTATTTTAAGAGTCTCATTCCCAGGAAAGACTGATTTATTAACCTGTACTGGTCTCCTCTTCAATGCCATAGTCATTCATTTGCGATGTTGTCATAGAAGACTTCCGGCCTCTCAGAGCCCTTAGTCATGCTGGGGAGAAACATCACTCTGGTGAGTGAGTTCATCCTGGTGGGCTTCCCCACCGCCCCCTGGCTGCAGGTCCTGCTCTTCTCCCTCTTCCTTGTGGTCTACTTGCTGGTGGTAGTAGAGAATCTTGTCATCATGCTCACTGTCTGGGTCACTGGCTCCCTCCATAAGCCCATGTACTATTTCCTGAGTAGCCTGTCCTTCCTGGAGGTCTGGTATGTCTCTGTCACAGTCCCCAAGATGCTGGATGGATTCCTCCTGCAGAGACGGCGCATCTCCTTCACAGGCTGCATGACCCAGCTGTACTTCTTTATCTCGCTTGCCTGCACGGAGTGTGTACTTCTGGCAGCCATGGCCTATGACCGCTATGTGGCCATCTGCCACCCTCTCAGATACCCGGTCATCATGACCACAGGTTATTGTGTGCAGCTGGTGGCTTTTTCCTATATGAGTGGTTTCATGGTCTCTGTAATCAAGGTCTATTTCATTTCACATGTTGCCTTTTGTGACTCCAATGTCATGAACCACTTTTTCTGTGACATCTCACCAATCCTCAAACTGGCTTGCAAAGACATGTCCACAGCTGAGCTAGTGGACTTTGCTTTGGCTATTGTCATTCTTGTCTTCCCTCTCACCACTACCATCCTCTCCTATGTCTACATTGTGTCCACCATTCTGCGTATACCCTCCACCCAGGGAAGGAAGAAGGCCTTCTCCACCTGTGCCTCCCACCTCACAGTAGTCATAATTTATTACACAGCCATGATTTTCATGTATGTTCGGCCCAGAGCTATTGCTTCATTTAACTCCAACAAACTCATCTCAGCTGTGTATGCAGTCCTCACACCCATGCTAAATCCATTCATCTACTGTCTGAGGAACCAGGAAGTCAAGAATGCTATCAAAAAGACAGTGGGTGTTGGCCAGTGCTTCCTGCTCAGATGAGACCTGCTGCCTTGAGGAGGAGACTGATCCAGCAAGGAAGTCATTCCTGAGATACTTCCAATGGTTGTGCACGCTTACTTGCTCTATAGATCTAGATTCTTAAAGTAATCACAGCATTTGAAGACAGAAAAAAATTAAAAACAGAAAGAAAACACATTATTTACTACTTTAATCTTTCATTGATGTTTAGTCACTCAATCTTGTCTCTTTGTGACCCATGGACTGCAGTAGTCCAGGCTTCCCTGTTCTTTGCCATCTCCCGGAGCTGCTCAAACTCATATCTACTGGGTCAGTGATGCCATCAAATCATCTTGTCCTCTGTCATCCCCTTCTCCTCCTGCCTTCAATCTTTCTCAGCATCAGGGTCTTTTCTAATAAGTTGGCCCTTCACATAAGGTGGCCAAAGTATTGGAGCTTCAGCTTCAGCATCAGTCCTTCTAATGTATATTTGGGATTGATTTCCTTTAGGATGGACTGGTTTGATCTCCTTGCAGTCCAAGGGACTCTCAAGAGTCTTCTCCAGCAGCACAGTTCAAAAGCATCAGTTCTTTGTCGTTGAGCTCTCTTTATGGTCCAAGTCTCACATCCATACATGACTACTGGAAAAACTGTAGCTTTGACTAGATGGACATTTGTCAGCAAAGTTAACATCTCTGTTTTTTAATATGCTGTCTAGGTTTGTCATAGCTTTTCTTCCAAGGATCAAGTGTTTTCTAATTTTGTGGCTGCAGTCACCATATGCAATGATTTTGGAGCCCAAGAAAATAAAGTCTGTCACTGTTTCCATTGTTACCCCATATTTGCCATGAAGTGATGGGACCAGATGCCATCACCTTAGTGTTTTGAATGTTGAGTTTTAAGCCAGTTTTTTCACTCTCCTCTTTCCCTTTCAATAGAGGCTCTTTAGTTTCTCTTCACTTTCTGTAACAAGGGTGTTGTCATCCTCATATCTGAAGTTATTGATATTTCTCCCAGCAATCTTGATTCCAGCTTGTGCTACGTCCTACCTGGCATTTCATATGATGTGCTCTGCATATAAATTAAATAGGTGACAATATACAGCCTTGATGTAACCCTTNGTGATTATCTGGGTCATGAAGATCTTTTTTGTATAGTTCTTCTGTGTATTCTTGCCACCTCTTCTTAATATCTTCTGCTTCTATTAGTTACACACTGTCTCTGTCCGTTGTTGTGCTCATCTTTGCATGAAATATTCCCTTGGTATCTCTAGTTTTCTTGAAGAGATCTCTAGTCTTTTCCATTCTATTATTTTCCTTTATTTTTTTGCATTATTCACTCAGGAAGGCTTTCTTATCTCTCCTTGCTATTCTTTGGAACTCTGCATTCACATGGGTATATCTTTTCTTTTCTCCTTTGCCTTTTGCTTTTCTTTTCTCAGCAATTTGTAAGGCCTCCTCAGTCATTTTGCCATTTGGTATTTCTCTTTCTTGGGGATGGTTTTGATCACCACCTGCTACACAATGTCATGAACCTCTGCCCCTAGTTTCAGGCACTCTATCAGAGCTAATATCTTGAATCTATTTGTCACTTTCACTGTATAATCTTTAAGTGTATTTAATATGCACTATATATGACAATATATTCCTTGAAATGAGAGAGCAACAGTAAATATTAACATATGTAAAATGGTTTTATTAACCCTTTACACAAGATAATCTATTTTATTCTCAAAATGCCTCCATGAGTTAGTTATGATTAGATACTTGATTTTAAATATCAGGAAAATGAAGTATACACAGAGAGATTTAAATAAGTTACCTGAAATTGTGTACCTAATAAATATCAAAACCATTATTTGAACCCAAAGAATCTAGCTTTTAACAACTGTGTTAAGTAATATATGAGTCTGTGATCATAGCTCTAAAAGAGACTTTTGTTAACAACATCGGTGTCTCGATCAAGCAATTCAGTACATAAGATTTGTAAATGTGATGAAAAGACATGATGCTGTGGTAGTGATGGTGATGATAGTGCTCTTTGCAATTATATTGTTATTGATGATCAACTACCATTGATAATAATAATAATTTTGAGCATTTCTCAGTTCTCATCCATGTTTGAAAGTAAAAAAAGCAAAAGTGTTAGTCCCTCAGTTGTGTCCAGATCTTTGTAACACCATGGGTTGTAGCCCACCAGGCTCCTCTGTCCATGGAATTCTCCAGGCAAGAATACTGGAGTAGTTAGCTATTCCTTTCTCCAGGGGATCTTCCTGACCCAGGGATTGAACCCAGGTCTCCTGCATTGCAAGCAGTTTCTTTACTGTCTGAGCTACCAGGAAAACCCTTCAAGGACTATAAGAGCTTATTTCTTATTACAGGAATGGGATCAGTAGTTCACGAGAGATGAAAGAATCAGCATTAACGTAATTTTTGCAGTTGATACGTATCTCTTGAGACACTCCCTTTTGGGCTCTTGGATTCTTGTGGCCTTTCATGCTATATATGACTATTATAAGCAAACTAAGAGAAGAGCATCACAACAGTGTATGCTTGAGCTGAAACCCTCAATACATCAATATAACATGTTCCTACATACAATAGGTGAAAACAAATACAAATTTTCTAAGGCAAATGCAAGTGTTATATATCATTATGGGACCTGCTTTAGATAAGAAAATATAGAATACCAAGAAGAATTCTACAAAATTGATCAAGCTGAGGTTAAAATATGAAAACAATAATCAGAAAAGGCTATTATGACTCCACATTTTGTTCATTTAAAGTTGGAGTCTAACATTTGTCTCCTAGTTTTGATCTAAGCCCCTTGAATATATTATTCAACATTCCTGTATTACTCTTTCTCATCTATTGCTTTTGAAATGTTACTCTACTATTTAGTAATTCTTAATTTGAATTAAATAGTATCTACTCATTCTAGTCTTTTTAAAAACTTTTTATTTTATACTGGAGTATAGTTGATTAATATAGTGCTAGCCTCAGGGGTACAGCAAAGAGATACAGCCACACACGTACATGTATTCATTCTTTCACAAGCTCCCTTCCCATCTAGTTTGCCACATAATATTGAACAGACTTCCCTGTGCATTTATTTATTATTTTAGAATCACTCTACCATTCATGAAGCTCAATAATGTCTGACGTTTTTGCCACCTGAACCAAATCAGCCTTATTTTTACTGATCTCCAATATGAAACATCCATTCTGATATTAGTCCCAGCAGCACACTCAGTAACTACAATATACTCATCTTTCGTAACTTCATTCATTCATTTTTTTTCATTCACTCATTATTTCTTGTGCCCCTATTTCTTGCCAAGCTCTGTGATAGACTACAGTGGACAACAACTACCAAAAAAACACAGTCTTCCTTCTAATAGCTCAGAGATGAGTGAGGAAGATAAAGGCACAATTGCCTCCAGCATTAAGTGTAATGATATGAATACAGGATTCTTTGGAAACAAATAATAGTTAGACCTAGGATGATCAGAGAAAATGTTCCAGTAGAAGGAGCATTTAGGCTAACACTTGCAGGAATTAGATAGATGAAAATGGTGGACAGTAATGAAGAGCAGGGCTTGCAAAGATGGAAAAGGGCAAGAGTCAAGAGAGATACCAGCCCACTAAAAAACCTGAAAGATGACTAACACAAAGTGACATAATGAAGATAGGGGTCACACAAGGAAGTAGATTCATGTTCACCAACCCAAATCTTACTAATTTGTGAATTCCTCTTACCATATAGGTTTGTGGATATACAGTAAGTTCCACAGAGGTATTTTCAGTCTCTGCAAGCACTAGATCTTCAGCTTGTTGCATTTTTATCAGGTAAATGGCAGTCACTTACACAGTGAAGCAGGGACGAGGGGCATTGTCTTTCAATATTCAGCCTCGACCAGAGCACCTCTTCATTTTGAATGATAGATGGCAGTTTGTGCTTGACTCTGAGTATATTGTGAGTTTCTCTAGCACAGAAATTAACCTTATTCATCCTTGAAGCTATAATACCAGCCTCAGCACCTGACACTGTACATAGATACTTGACTGTTTCCCAGGTTTAAGCTAGTTTACTGCACAGAGCTGCTTTTTCCCTTTTCCCCTTTTAGGTTGCATTTCTTGTCTTATCACAGTAAATTAGACTATTTAAGATCTGTAGAAGAATTTCTCCAATATATTTTCCCAGTTGCTTCTATTTCACACACTCAGGTTTACTATCTTCTAATAAATAGCATAATCAGGGTTTTAAAAGAGCCTCACTGGCAACTGGGTAAGTGGAAAAATATTGGGAAAGTACATGATCTTGTGAGGCAAATATTCAGCTTGAATCTACAGCATTATCAGTAGTTAAATTTGTAGCTTTTGCAGCAAATTAGAATTTTGGTTTCTTTGAGCTTCAGTTTCCTCATCTGTTGAAAGTGGATCATAATATCTACTTCTAAAATTGATATGAAGATTAAATAAAAATGGATATATGTGAAGGCACCTGGTACAGCATTTGGCACATACTATTCTACATTATCCAACAAAATACAAAGTACAGGATTGCTCATAATATTTTTAAAACTCACCTGGAACTGCAAGTCATCTATGACAGCTTTTCTGTTACTTCCAACTTCCAGCTTGTGCTGACTTGTCTCCATACCTATCAGGAAGAAATGACTCTAGTTGTGTGTAATTTGTGTTCACAGTGATGATATCTTGGTTGTAACACTTTTTAGACTCTATCTTATACTGACAGTGATTCAAATACACATCTTATTTAAAACAGTAGATTATAAGTTTCTTTATGTCTCACAGTTACTCAAAGTTATTATCATGCATTCAGTGATCAATAGATATATGAGGAATAAATCCCTGTCTGAATGTCAGACTTCCAACTGATAGCCACAGTGCCCATAACTTCCACATTTTTTGGCTTAGTTCCAATTTTTAAACATTCTGTTCTCTCCAACTCCTCTAATTTTTAGATTGAAGCAAACATCATGTCTTTCCTCATACCCATTTCAATATTTTCTAACATGTTAAGGCTGGAAAGCTTAAAATTACAGACCTCAGGTTTTCATTAATATTTAGGTTCCTGTATGATGCATTTATACAACACTTTGATTCTCACATAAATCATAGGCAGAAGGAGTCAGTGTGTGGGACATTCATTTAGCTGCTGTGGCTTATGGCCAAAGTTCTGCAGGCAACAGATTTTGTTCATGAGCCACAGCAACAGCAACAGTTTTCTCTACTGTGTCTGAGACACGGTGGTTGTGGAGGCTCAAACTTGTTTCTGGGGTTCATCCTAAACTCCGGAACTCCAGTCTTCTCAATGACTTTATAATAATCAAATTCTCTTTCTGCTTAAGCTACCTAAGACAAATTTGATTACCTGTAACACAACATTGACTGACACAATCACTACGTGGGGAAATTTCTATTTATTATGAACCTTCATTTTCTTGTTTGGAAATTGGGAATATTAGTAACATTTTATAGAGTTGTTCAAAGTGTTAAATTAAATAACATGTATGTGAAGTCTTTAGAACATAGCAGGTGCACACAGATTATTAATGTTGGCTTCTACAGAGAGTTGTTGCTGTTTTGTATTAGCAGATGTCTGTACAACCCTACTGATAGCAGTCCTCGCACTTTAAAAATAGAGATGTCCTTAATCATTTGATTAACTGGGGTGTTTCAGGTTAAAAGAATTAAAATTTAGAATAATTCAAAGATTGATGGCTTGAGAGACTGAATGGATAACTTTACTATTTCCTGAAGTATCTGGAATTATCCTAGAACTCCAGTGTTTCAGCTATTGATAAATCTGAATCAGTAAATCTGATGTCTATTGAGAAGCAGAATTCTTTTTAAGCATACATGTAAAAATATGACATAAACCCCTATATTAAGTGAATAATATAACACAGTAGTAAGTATTTTCGGAGAAATCAATGGCACCCCACTCCAGTACTCTTGCCTGGAAAATCCTACGGACGGAGGAACCTGGTAGGCTGCAGTCCATGAGGTCGCTAAGAGTTGGACACGACTGAGCGACTTCACTTTCCCGCATTGGAGAAGGAAATGGCAACCCACTCCAGTGTTCTTGCCTGGAGAACCCCAGGGATGAGGGAGCCTGGTAGGCTGATGTCTATGGGGTTGCACAGAGTTGGACACGCACGACTGAAGTGAGTTAGCAGTAGCAGTAAGTATTTTCCTACCGGATTTTATAATTATTTCACCTAGCTTCATTTTTACTAAAGGGTATTAATAAATTGATATGCTATTTAAACTTTCTCTTTGTTTTTATAAAAATAAAAATTTAAAAATTTCTCTTTGTTCTGGTTCATGAATTTTAGCCCAGAAAATATGGTCCCATGAATGCTTTATAGATGACACCAAAATTCTATCAATATATTTATGTTTGCTAATCTTATCTCTAATATAAAAGCATTTAACAGGAAGTTGAGAAAAATCTCCATATATCGGACAGTAACCATCATCTGCAGTCACAACACTTGCCATTTTCAAAGAGAGAAATATACAGAGGGGACACAGAGGGCAAAGACACATTCTATCACATGTTAGATCTGTGTCCTCAGTCTCCTAACTGGTGATCAGGCTGAACCAGATATGAAACATAAGCTTATTTCTTTTCTTTTTTAAAAAGTATTTATTAAAAAATATTTTTAAAAAATATTTATTTATTTACTTGACCATGCAGGTCTTAGTTGCAGCTCGTGGGATCTTCAATCTTCATTTGACATGAGGGATCATTTTTAGTTGTAGCATGGAGGATCTATAGTTGTAGCACACAAACTCTTATTTGAGGCATGTGGGATCTAGTTCCTTGACCAGGGATTGAACCCAGGCCCCCTACATTGGAATCTCAGTCTTAGCAACAGGACCACTAGGGAAGTTTCCATAAGGTCATTTCTTGTTTTACTGGTCTAACTCCTAGAGTTTGAATAGTCTACAGCAGTCTCCTTGTACTTTCCCCCAGTGTGTGTGTGTGTGTGTGTGTGTGTGTGTGTGTGCACACGCACATGCAGTCTCTCAGTCATGTCCAACTCTCTGCGACCCCCCCTGGACCGTAGTGGAATTTTCCAGACAAGAACTAGAGCCAAGACAAAAGAAGTTAAAAGTTAAAGAGTCAAAATTACCTAATGGTTCAGTTGGTAAAGAATCCATGTGCAATGCAGGTGACCCTGGGTCGGGAAGATCTGCTGGAGAAGGGATAGGCTACCCACTCCAGTATTCTTGGGCTTCCCGTGTGGCTCAGCTGGTAAAGAATCTGCCTACAATGTGAGAGACCTGGGTTTGATCCCTGAGTTGGAAAGATCCCCTGGAGAAGGGAAAGGCTACCCACTCCAGTATTCTGGCCTGGAGAATTCCACGAACTGTACAGTTCATGGGGTCACAAAGAGTCAGACGTGATTGAGCAACTTAAAAAAATAAATTGCTTTACTGACCAAAACTTGATTCCCTACTCCTGTGTGCAATTGTTTCTTTGATGTTCAGGGGTGAGGGAAGTGGAGGTGGAGATCTCTTGATCTCTTGAGTGGGGGAAGCGGAGGTGAAGAGAAAGTTCTCTTTGGTGCTCAGCGTGTACTGTTAACACTACTAAATACTCTTTTGGGTATTTTGATCCTCTCACCAGCACCCCCTTTGAATAATATTAATGTCTTAAAGTAATAGGTCATGAGTAATAGTTACTTCCCAGACAACCAGAGAGTGGAAGAAAATCAAGCTTTAGAACTAAGATTAGGATAAATTACCAGATTGATATTCCATAAAACTGTTACTATTCTGTTTCTCCAACTGATAATGACCCTGTCTAGTGACCCTAGGAGGTCACTAGGGAAATTTCTTTAACTTCTTCGTTATTATTGCTCTTGAAAATCCTATAGCATGTGTGAACCAAATCCCCAAGGATGTGTCTTTTAAAGAACAGTTGCCTCTACTGAGCAGTTGGCTCATTGTGCCCTGGAATTGTCCAGCTCCAGGTTCTGCCTGAATGAGGTCTGTGAGAAGAGTCAACATATAAAACCAGCCCAAATTCAGTGGCAGAGAAACAGAACAAGGGCAAGAAGAGAAGAGTAGGAAGAGGCACATATTGAACAGATACAGAGAAAAAGCATATAAGACAGAAAAGAACAATCTCTCCCACCTTGGGCTCTTACCATCCAAAAGGGGCCATCTAACAGGCCCAGAAGTAACTTTTGAATTTTGGACTTAAAAGTCTTGTCACACATATGTATTGAATTGATTTTGCCTCTTCTTTGAGTAAATTGAAGAAAAAAAATTCCCATTTCTCTATAATCCTTCTGGACCCTAGTATCTTTCCCAAGTGAGGAGAATTACAAAGTCATGGAACTCTTGAGTTTCACAGAGAAGCAATTTTCAAGGATTTAGATTAGGTTATTCCAAAACTTCTCCTTTATTTCCTTTCCCTTCCCCATTTTCATTTTTATCCCCTAACTTCAAGTCCTTTCAGGTGAAGAGGCAAAGACTCACAGGGGTGGCACAGGTGATTTTCCAAACACCTCTCCACTGGTCAGCATACTGGACAACTGAACCAAGATCTCCAAGCTAGACTCGACCAAGATGACCTACTTCACTTGAGTTCCTAAAGCAAAAAAAAACGGAGTGCACCATGGTGAGACATCTGATCTTAATAAACATCACAAATTTATTTGCTTATTTAGTGACAACCATGCTTCAGGAACTAAGCTAGACACCTAGAGATAAAAAGATGACCAAGCTGAAAATAGTGTAAGATTGGTATTTTCAAGGCATCCATAAATCTAGTAGTGGTGATAAGTAAGCAAAATGATACATGTTATCATGATATGATGCTCTTTAGTTCAAAATGTTACAAAATCAGAAAGCTGGAGTGATGGGTAGGTGACAGCAAGGGGTGGTTAGGCATAGTTTGATAGGGAGGATGAATCTGAGTAGGCATTTACCAGGTAGCAAGATTTAGAATGAATTTCGGGTAGAAGATAGAGTATGTGCAACTGCATAGAGTCTTTAAGGAGGATATTGCATTAAAAACATCAAATTCTTCAGTGGAGCTTGAGCTTGAATTGAGTAGCTGAGAAAGAATATTAAGAATGTGGGGGTCAGATCCTGAGGCACTTGCTATGCGATATAAGGAGTTCAGTTGTACAGTATGGTCACTGCAGGATTTGAACTGGAGAATCACTTATTTATGTTTATATTTTAGTATATATTTAGTCAGAAAGCAGGATACTATTTAGTATCTTTATGTGTTGTCTTATATAGGTAACAGCCACTGTATGTTCCCAGTTCTTTGGAGTGCAAGCCCACTCTATCTCTTCTGAAGCTTGAACTTTTTATTTTCCTTTCCATTTACCTTCCCCCTGAATTGCACAAACCACCTCCCTCTATTTACAATGTCCCTCTCGTTCTCATCTAACTTCCTCTCCCTTCTTGAGAAAATCTTTTTCCCATCTGTAGTATCTTCTAAGTAATACACATCAACCCATTTCTTTGATTCAGTAGGTGAGTCCATCCTCCTTTCTGAGCCAACATTCTTTTCCTAACAGACTTTCAGCTAGGAAATGGTGACTCAGTGAAACACGCCAAGTCAGTGGCTGGGTTAGTGGTCAATATAGAGTGGGGAGAGGTCACATTGATTTAGATACATATAAGGGTCAATGAGGGTTGGGGGAAAGATCATCATGAGTATTAGGATGTCTGGAATATTACATTGACTTAGGAGGCATGTTGCTCAAGAAAAGAAAACTAGGCAAACCAGATTTTGGAACTTTAGACTGATCTCTAAAAGCTCAGATGGAGTGTGAAGGCTAAATTCAAAAGTGGGAAATTTGTGCAAGAAAGACTTGGTTGAAAAGGAAATTGATGTCAGTATGGTCAAGACCAGGGATCAGGAGAATGGGTGGTACAGAAAGGGGGAAAGAGCAGACTAGGGATGCACAAAATTGGGGACATTAACTGGGAATGTGGCAGTGGGAAGAGAGGAGGGAAACAATAATTAAAGAAAGAGGAATGCTGCATAGAAGAAAGAGTATAGACTTTGGAGACCTATAGTGTTAGGTTATAATTCCATCTCTACCACTTTTTACTTGTATGAATTTAGCCAAATTGTTTACCTAGTATCTGTAATGGGGAACCAATAATATCTATCAGGTTGTTGTGAGAATTGAGTGAGATGAAGTATAGGAAAGACTGAGTAAAAAGTCTGCCATATAATAGACACCCAGCAATCAGTGAATATTTTTATTATTGGACTGGTTATACAGGCAAAGGCAGGGATGAGGATAAAGATGATAAAGGCCAAGTAGGAAAACTGCATGAGCTTTCAGCAGGGAGAAAGTATAGGACAGTAGTCTCATGTGGGACTCATGCGTGCTCAGAATGGTGGGTGTATGCAGAGATCTTGGTCATGCCAGAGGCAATACTGTACTGGCTCAAAGTTTTAAGAATAAAATGTGGATCTTAAAAATCAAGGGAGTTCATAGACCTAGAGATTATCATGCTAAGTGAAGTAAGCCAGAGAGAGAAAGATAAATATGATATTGCTTATATGTGGACTCTAAGAAAAAAAGAATGATACAAATGACCTTATATACACAACAGAAATAGAGTCACAGACATAGAAAACAAATTTATGGTTACCATAGGGGGAAGGGGAGGAAGAGATTAATTAGGAGTTTGGGATTAACATATACACATTACTATATGTAAAATAGATAACCAGCAAAGACCTACTGCACAGCACAGGAAACTATACTCAACATTTTGTAATAACCTATAAGGGGAAATAATCTGAAAAAATAGATATATATGTATATATAACTGAGTTCTTTTGCTGTGGAGTGAATTAACAACTTGAATTGACCATATCACTGAAAATCTACTATACTTCAATTTAAAAAAATTAAATTTTTACTATCTTTTAAAGAAAATCAAGAGGGTTCAGGCTAATGTTAAGAGAATATGTAAACGGAACTCATTTGGTTTTCCATATGATGTCAGTGAGACAAGAGATACTCTGTCAGAAACAAGGAGAAATACTACATGACATCCCTTATATGCAGAATCTAAAAAAAATGAATACAAATGAACGTATTTACAAAGGAGAAACAGACTCACAGCAAACTTATGGTTACCATGGGGGAATGATGTGGGGAAGGGATAGCTAGGGAGTTTGGGATGGACATGTACACATTGCTATATTTAAAATGGATAACCAACAGAACCTACTGTATACAGCACAGGGATCTCTGCTCAATGTTATGTGGCAGCCTGGATGGGAGGAGAGTTTGGGGGAGAATAGATACATCTATGTGTATGACTGAGTCCCTTCACTATCCACCTGAAACTTGTCAGAACATTGTCAATCAGTTGCATTCAAATATAAAATAAAAAGTTAAAAAAAAAGAGGTACTCTGTCAGATGTTATAGGACTCAGTGTATCAGAAATGGGGAGAACTAGTAGAAAAGTATAGGAAACAGTGAGGAGTAACTGTATATAACCTCATCTTCCAGCCTTGTCTGGATCCATTTCTTTCTTCCAGGCTATCAGTGCTTTCTAGACAAAATGCAAATCATCCCATCATCAGCATTTTAATGCTTTATTCTGTGCCTTTGCATTTGCTTTTTGCTCTCTTTGGTATTTCTCCTTCCCTTCAAAACTCTATGATGTTTCATTTCAGTTAAAATGGCACTTTTTAATGACATCTTTCTGGGTTCTTTTAACAAAGAATTGTTCTACCCTGGATTCCTAACACTCAGTATCCTATCACGATGTGTACTGCATTATACTCTGATTTTCTGACCCCTTCTCTGTCCCCTTTACTAGACTGCTCCAATGTCTATTTATCTTGGGGTTCTCAGTGCAGGGAACTACTTGACCCACAGTAGAGTTAAAGGTGTGGGGACTAGGGTGAGCAGATTAAGAAACTAAGTAACCTTTTTAAATGGGAAAAACCTGCATATTACCATGGAGGTAGTAACAGTAGAAAGTAAAGGTAAGGAAAGAAAGGGCTTGATGGATGGTACAGTATTCTGAAGCAGATACAAAAACATGATCATAAAAGAAGGATTATGTTTAGGAAGAAGAATAATTGATTGACGATTCTTAAAAGTTGTCAGAAATGACTCAGATAAGAACCTGCCAGAAGATTTCTTAAAACATCAGTAAGATTAGGTCAGTCAACTGCTCAGAACTTTCCAAAGTGACTCCAATCCACACAGAGTAAAGGCCAACATGATTACAACTGCTTGAAAAGCCCATGGTGACCTGCTCATCATCACCTGTCCTTACTTCTCTAACTTCATTTCTCCCACTCACTCTACTCCAACCATACTAGATCTATTCTCTTTTTTTTGGAAAACTATTTCATCAGACAGTCAGATGACTGTTAGCAGATGACTGCTCAATGAGGCTTACCCTGACCATCCTGTATAAAACATGAACCCACTACACTGCCACACACTCTTAATTTTAGTTACTTTGCTGTGATTTTTCCATAGAATGTGTCAACTCCTACATTTATATCCATATTATATTTATTCAAAGTCTTGAGAAAGACTGTATTTACTGCCTGTATCCCTTCATTAGCATGTAACTTCTTAAGAAGTTTTTTTTTTTTTTTTCTGTGTTCAGTGAGCTGTTTCAAGCATCTAGAACAGTGCCTGGCATGTAATAGATGCTCAATGAATGTCTGTGTAAAGAATTTAATATACAAAAAGAGATAGGATTTCTGACAACAGCTTCCTGAAAAATGAGATGTAGAACAGATAGAGGGACCAGTCTTAGATAAGAATTAAGGAAAGAATGAACAGAGATGTCAGAGTTTAGCATAATGATTTGGAAGTGGAAAACTGAATAAGATATGCATCAATAGTCTTGTTAGTCTTTATAAGAGGAGAAAATTGTCTGCTGAGAGTTGGAGGAGAGAGTGGAATGGCAGATTAGAGATCAAAACCAAGAAATCTTTGGGAAATGTGGAGAGTGAATCAATTTAAAACATAGTGTAGAATACCAGCCATTGTCTGTGGTTCAGTTGGGCTACATGACTATAAATTTATGTTGATATCATTTGTCCCCTTTTGTGACTTTTCTCCAGTAGGACTCACTTGCCCAGGTGCAGATAAAGCCTTATTGCTTTCTTTGAAGGCCACCACTGAAGGCAATGTTAAGATCTTCTTCCCAGGGGCTACCTATCTTACTTGTGGCTGTAACAGAGAGTACTGTAATGGCTTAAATTCTACCTTTTCATCTTTATACTTTCAGAATGCCATATGGGACCAAGTCGCCAATGAGCGGGAAGTAGATCTTTATCGTATGTGCTTAGTCACTCAGTCTGTCCGACTCTTTGTGACCCGTGGATTGTAACTGTCAGGCATCTCTGTCTGTGGGATTTCCCAGGTAAGAATACTAGAGTGGGTAACCATTCCCTTCGCCAGGGGATCTTCTCCATCCAGGAATAAACCCTGGTCTCCTGCATTGCAGGTGGATTCTTTACCATCTGAGCTACCAAGGAAGCCTAGATCTTTATTTTAACCATTAACAATTCTATAAATTGTCTGCATCCATAATTTGTTGAATTTTTTTACCATTATAACCTTATTTTAAGGGAATCAAAGTTTGGTAACTTGAAGTTTGCATCTGATTATAAAGTTAATAAGAGAGAAATCATGCACTAGAATTCAGGTCTTCCAGTTATTTGTCCCACTCTTCAGCAGTTTCCCTAATGCTGTAGTACCTTCTGAATATTGGGCTTTCTTTTGTCCACTTTGAGTCTCTTGTTGTATTACTCTTTTGTGTTCTGTTATTCCTGAAATATCAGACACAAGTGAGTGTGCATTCACATGTTAAAATTCCTTCACGACCTTGTTCTATAATTGATAGGATTTAGGCTATGTGCTTCCATATGGTTTCTCTCTCTTAGGCAAATTGACCTCCCTGAGAGAGTTGTTAAGCTTAATTAAAGGATAATACTTTTGAGCAGATAAAGAAGTCAAATTTGAATCCATTGTATTGTAATTTTTCCAACACATATAACCAACTACTTTATTAGAGATCTGGGGGGGTAGGGGGGTTAGGCTACAAAGTACATATAAATCAGAAATAATTACTAAATATTTGTGTGTGAGTGCTCAGTCGCTCAGTCTGACTCTAGCTCCATGGACTGAGGCCACTAGGCTCCTCTCTCCATGGAATTTTCCAGGCAAGAATACTGGAGTAGGTTGCCATTTCCTACTTCAGAGGATCTTCCCAACCCAATAATCGAACCTGTATCTCCTACATCTCCTGCTTAGGAAATTTCAAATCTTATTTTTCTTTCCATTTCCATTTCCATTGGGCTTCTCAAAGAATATGTTTCTCTTTTAAGATTCATTTAATTTATAATCTCAACCCGATTTTTATCTGTTCTTTTACTTCTGTCTCCACTTATGAAGAAAGTATTTTTAAATTTCCTCAGATTATATATTGTGCCCTGGGAAGCCCAGGACCCTTTCAAATTGTCAAATCTCCTGACTTCCCACTCCCAAGGCAGCTTCTTAAATGCAACTTGCCCTCAAGTAGTGTCCACAATAAGGAGTTTTAGAGTCAAGAAGTAGACACAATTACTCAAGTAGCACTTCTTCCAAAAGTATAAAATACTTGAGCCAGTTTTTGAAGAAGATGTAGATGAGTTATACAGATTAATTTGAGATCAACTGTGAACTATTCTATAATATATAACTAGTAGATATGTATATATAATATTACATATGTATAAATAAAACTATTATGTATAACTTTTACATATGTGACTATTAGCGTTAGTGTTATTAGAAGTCATCTAAAACACTAAAATATATTTAAGTATTCTAAGAGGGTAAACATTTCTTTATTCAATTTTTTTAAAGCTGTGGCCCTAAAAATAGGCAATGAATTATTAAGTACTATTGCCAGTGTCTTCAAAAAACACAGGGCATAGCTGAGGAGTAGACCAGAGTCAGCAATTCTTCTGGCCAGGAGGGTCTTTCCGAGTCGATATTCTGCTTCCATTTTCTCCAGACTTCAAACTTCCTCGCTTCCTGGACAATCCTTGGCACTTTCTCTAATTGTGATGATTTCCTACCTTATAGCTGCCCCTGAAATCTGTGAATATGATGATAAGGAAAGGATTTTCTCCTAGTACTACCTGGAGGCCTCTTCAGATCCAAAGGCCTAAACCCTGAATCTGACCTCACGATTCTACTTTGAGATTTTTAGCTTTGTGTCTATGTTCTATTTGTTTTCAGGTCCTGTTCTGACACCTGATTTTCTGGAGAAGATGCTGTGGCCTCTAGTGATCCAAATTATACCCCAGGACCAGATTATGACCCTAGGGTTGTGTTTAATGTAGCCTGAGGGCCCCTTGCTCCAATGTGAATTCACTCTTCAATCTGGTGCTGCCATCATTAAGTCTTTTGTCTTTTGATGTCCTAATTATGTGGAAGGAAAATATCACTCATATTAGTGAATTTGTCCTGCTGGGCTTCCCTACTTACCCTTGGCTGCAAGTTCTGCTTTTCTTCCTCTTCCTCATCACCTACCTGTTTGTGCTGTTGGAGAATGTAGTCATCATCCTCACTGTATGGGTAACTGGATCCTTGCACAAGCCCATGTATTACTTTCTGGGCACCATGTCCTTTCTGGAGACCTGGTATATATCTGTCACAGTCCCCAAGATGCTAGCTGGATTCCTGCTTTGTCCCAATACCATCTCCTTCTTGGGATGCATGACCCAGCTCTATTTCTTCATGTCACTTGCCTGTACTGAGTGTGTGCTCTTGGCTGCCATGGCCTATGACCGTTATGTGGCTATATGTTGGCCTCTTCGCTATCCGGTTATGATGACCACAGAATTTTGTGTTCAGCTAACCATCAGTTCCTGGCTGAGTGGCTTTATTGTCTCCATGGCAAAAGTATACTTCATCTCCCAAGTTTCCTTCTGTGGTAATAATATCTTGAACCATTTTTTCTGTGATGTTTCCCCCATCCTCAAACTGGCCTGCATGGACTCATCTGTGGCAGAGATGGTAGACTTTGTGCTAGCCATCATCATCCTTGTGTTTCCTCTCTCAGCCACTGTCCTTTCCTATGCCTTCATTGTCTCTGCCATCCTGCACATTCCTTCAGCCACTGGGCAGCGGAAGGCCTTCTCTACCTGTGCTTCTCACCTTATAGTGGTAGTCATCTTCTACACAGCCGTGATCTTCATGTATGTCCGACCTCAGGCCATTGCTTCATTCAATTCTAACAAATTGATCTCAGCCATATATGCAGTCTTTACTCCCATGCTCAACCCTATCATCTACTGCCTGAGGAACAAGGAAGTCAAAAATGCCATCAGAAAAACCATGGCAAGTGGCCAAGCCCTTTTCTTGAGAGATTCTCTTTGCTGAAGAAATTCAGTTTTCAGATTTTCTTCTTTTTTTCATCATCTGCAATGATAAACATACTGACTTAATACAATAATTAAGGAATAAGAGTCTATATATCAAAGAAAATTCCCTTTTCTTTCTTGTATTAATTCTTTCTTTTAGAAGGCAAAGAGTTAAATAATCAGAACTCTAAAACACATACATTAGTAAAATCATTAAAAAATAATTCTATGTTTCAAGAAGATATTCAGAAATAGTTATACAACTAGTTTTCAGAGTTTCATTAATGACATTTTTCCAGTTTAATTTTGCTTTGTTTTAAAAGCCGTTTCTATCTTAGGAGGCATATACAAAAAGAAGTTCTGCAATAGTCAATGTAATGACCTGTTGTTTGCTTCCTAGTGGGTTAGGGAACTTGTTCCTTTTATAATCAATTGACCTTAGTGATATCTCATTTAATTACTTTTTAAAATCTATGAAAAAATGAGAAATACCTTTCATATGCAAGATAGTGTGCAAAACTTACCATGGTAAAGAGAAAATAGGATTTTATATACATATATATGTATACATACACATATATAATATCTTGGCCCATTTTATAATAAAACCCACTTATAAAATGTATTATATGATATGTAATATATATTTTTATAATATAAAATACATACAATGTAAATTTTCCTACAAATGGGATGTATTTATAAAATACATAATTTCACACTTTAGTTCTCTTCCTTTATTGGAACTTCTACATATATAATTTTGGGGGTGTTATAGTTGGGGGCTAGACTCAGAAAAACTAGAAGCAATTCATTAAAGCCCCCTAGTTTTCAGGTAAAGTAAGCATTGGCATTGACAAGAGCCATGAAACTGCTTTTGTTAGGTGGTACTTGGCCTGGATGTATAAGATTTTTCCAAGTTTCCCAGAACATCTCCCTTCTAAATTTTTTTTAAATTTTGTAATGGTGGATGCAATATGCTAAGAAGTATTACATGTTTTCATTCAGCTATTATAAAATGATAGAGGAAAGATGGATTCTGTCTGGCTTAGCAAACATATTGGATGAGTGAATTAACAAAATATGTTCTCCCAAGGGTTTAAGGATGTAGGCATGCCATTTCACCCTAACAACTTGGAAGCCACATTTCATAAGTTTTAATTGGATTGTTAATTTATATACTACATTTGTTTTGTTTTGTCTTTTGTATTAAGTTTTTATATAAGATCAGATGAGGGGCTTTCCTGTTGTCTCAGTAGTAAGGAATCTGCCTGCTAAGGCAGGAGACACAGGTTTAATCCCTGATCCAGGAAGGTCCCACGTGCTGTGAAGCAACTAGGCTTATGAGACACAACTATTCAACCTGTGCTCTAGAGCCTGGGAGCCACAACTACTGAGCCCACCCACAACAGCTATTGAAGCCCACCTCAATAGAGCCCAGTACTCTGCAACAGAAGAAGCCACAGCAATGAGAAGCCCACCTACTGCAACTAGAGAAAGCCCAGGCAGCAAAGAAGAACCAGCACAGCCAAAAATAAATAAATTTAAGAAAAAATATCAGATAAGATTGTTTTAATTTGGTTTTATAAACTGTGGTAATTTTCAACTTATCTAAACTTGATATATTTTCCTGGCCCTCATGATTTTTAAATGTAAATTTTCCTACAAATGGGATGTATTTATAAAATACATAATTTCACACTTTAGTTCTCTTCCTTTATTGGAACTTCTACATATATAATTTTGGGGGTGTTATAGTTGGGGGCTAGACTCAGAAAAACTAGAAGCAATTCATTAAAGCCCCCTAGTTTTCAGGTAAAGTAAGCATTGGCATTGACAAGAGCCATGAAACTGCTTTTGTTAGGTGGTACTTGGCCTGGATGTATAAGATTTTTCCAAGTTTCCCAGAACATCTCCCTTCTAAATTTTTTTTAAATTTTGTAATGGTGGATGCAATATGCTAAGAAGTATTACATGTTTTCATTCAGCTATTATAAAATGATAGAGGAAAGATGGATTCTGTCTGGCTTAGCAAACATATTGGATGAGTGAATTAACAAAATATGTTCTCCCAAGGGTTTAAGGATGTAGGCATGCCATTTCACCCTAACAACTTGGAAGCCACATTTCATAAGTTTTAATTGGATTGTTAATTTATATACTACATTTGTTTTGTTTTGTCTTTTGTATTAAGTTTTTATATAAGATCAGATGAGGGGCTTTCCTGTTGTCTCAGTAGTAAGGAATCTGCCTGCTAAGGCAGGAGACACAGGTTTAATCCCTGATCCAGGAAGGTCCCACGTGCTGTGAAGCAACTAGGCTTATGAGACACAACTATTCAACCTGTGCTCTAGAGCCTGGGAGCCACAACTACTGAGCCCACCCACAACAGCTATTGAAGCCCACCTCAATAGAGCCCAGTACTCTGCAACAGAAGAAGCCACAGCAATGAGAAGCCCACCTACTGCAACTAGAGAAAGCCCAGGCAGCAAAGAAGAACCAGCACAGCCAAAAATAAATAAATTTAAGAAAAAATATCAGATAAGATTGTTTTAATTTGGTTTTATAAACTGTGGTAATTTTCAACTTATCTAAACTTGATATATTTTCCTGGCCCTCATGATTTTTATTCTAACCACTGTATAATTTCTAATAATATCCCTCATAGCTCAGTCGGTAAAGCATTCTCCTGCAAGGCAGGAGACCTGGATTCGATTCCCAACTCAAGAAGAATTCCTCAGAGAAGGAAATGGCAACCCACTCAAGTATTCTTGCCTGGGAAATCCCATGGACAGAGGAGCCTGACAGTCTGCAATCCATGGGAACCCAAGAGTTGGACAGGACTGAGAGACTTAACCACCACCACTACCACTTTTCTTTAGTCAAAAGGTAGTGGTATGGGTTATGGCCCTCATATAAGCACTAAAAACAATATAAGATACTTTATCTTGAATCATATAATTCCTTATCCAAGTGTTAGACTTTTCAGTCTTTTTGTCAAAAGATAGCAGTATATATTTATTCTTGAAAACCTATATTAGTCATTATTATACAATTAATGTTATTTTGAAATCTCGCAGGCTTCTTTGTTAGCTCAGAGGGTAAAAAATCTGCCTGCAATGCAGGAGACCTGAGTTTGATTCCTGGGTTGTGAAGATCCCCTGGAGAAGGGAATGGCAATCCACTCCAGTATTCCTCCCTAGAGAATTCCATAGAGAGACCACAGGGTTGAAAAGTGTCAGACATGACTGATCAACTAACACTTTCTTTCTGCTTTGAAATCTCATGAGATTGTTTTTTATTCTAAAAATGTTTTAATTTTAATTAAGCAGTTGTAGAATTATTTATTACTATGACATCAACCATCATCTATATTTATAAACTGACCTTCCTTTTCTGGTTTAGAACACCTGATTTAAAAATTTTCTGTGTAGCCATTAGGTCATGTGTTATACAAATCCTCTGTGTCCTTATGAATTGTATTTCCAAGGGAGGTATCTTATTGTCCATACAACAGTACATTTTTCTCTCTCCTTTGTTATTTTTTGCTTTTAATATTTATTTTACTTTAACATTTTTAATATTTTATTTTTAAATGTTTAAATCATACAGAAAAGTAGAGAAAATAGTATAACTGAAAACTTTGTCCACAATTCAGGTTTCCTAAATTAATGATTAAAGTCTGTACATACTACTAGGTGAAGTAAGTCAGACAGAGGAGAAATAATCTATGACATCCCTTATATGTGGACTCTAAAAAGAAATGATACAAACGATCCTTACTTACAAAACAAAGAGATTCACAGACTTAGAAAATGAACTTATGGTCACCAGGGTAAGGAATAGTTAGGGAGTTTGGAAGGTTATGTACACATTGACCATTAGGAATGGTTTAAAATGGATAATCAACAAGGACTTATTGTATAGCACATGGAACTCTATTCAATGTTATGTGGCAGCCTGGATGGGAGGGGGGTTTGGGGGAGAATGGATACATGTATATGGATGGCTAAGTCCCTTCGCTGTTCACTTGAAACTATCACAACATTGTTAATCAGCTATACCCCGATACAAAATAAAAAATTCAAAAAAAAGGAAAAAAGTTGTACATTGATTTTATAATTATATTGCCTGTTTAATATTGTACTCCAATTATAATTATGCTACTATATTCAAAATCAGAAGAGTGGTTTTCAAGAAGGAAAGATGAAATGACTTATAGCTGACTAGAAATCTTCAGAGAAGGATGGAAATAGGTAAAGGTTTTCCTGGACAACCATCAGACAGTGAACCAGAAAAAGTAAGATAGATTGTCAAAGCTGATGGTAGCAGGAAGTTTTCCAGGTAACTAAATTGGTAAAATTTCCCCTTTGTTGCAGGAAAAAAATGTATTGACTGTATAAGTAAGGGTTCAATCAGATAAAGCAGACCCAGTAGGAGATATGTATTAAAAGATTTATTACATGGAACTAACTTATGAAACTGTGGGAGTTGGCGACACAAATTTGAAATTCAGAGGGCAGGCTGTCAGGAAGGGAAGCCTGAACTCTTGGGCATGAGATTAAGCTACTTTTCACAGGTGAAATATCTTCGCCCTCAGTTCTCCTTTTAAGGCCCTTCACTTGATTGAACAAAGTTCCTCTAAATTATGTAGAATAATCTTGTATAGTGAACTGAACATGGACTTGAATCACCTCTAATAAAATACCTTCATAGTCATACCTGGATTAGTGTTTGATTGAAAAACTGGGAAATAAAGCGTAGCCAAGTTGATATATAAAATTGGTCACCATGGTCTTCCCTTGTCAACTTAGAGCTCACATTTATCTCCTTAAATCATGCAATCTTCAAAATAAAGACAATAACAAGGTCATTCTTCCACCTAACATGATACACCTATCTTGCATATAACCCTCTGTACTAACCCTTTCCTCAATAAAAAACACAAACTAATAATTATGCTACTATATTCAAAATCAGAAGAGTGGTTTTCAAGAAGGAAAGATGAACTGACTTATAGCTGACTAGAAATCTTCAGAGAAGGATGGAAATAG